GCAGGCAGGTGCCATATTTGAATCTCCAGCACCTGATTCACACCTTTGGCCCTGCCCCTCCCTACCTGCAGGCTCATTGAGACCATTTCCAGTGGCTCNCCCGCCCCGTGATTCCCGGAGGCCCCGCCCCTCCCCACCTGCAGCTCATCCAGGCCATTTCCAGGGGCTTTTCTGTGCAAGTGGCCTCTCGAGCCTCATGCTTAGGACTTTCCTAAAATCTCTCAAACAAGCAGCAGCGTGCCCCACACAGCTTGATAAGTGGCCCCAGGCCTGGCACTAGTGGCAGCCTGCATTGGCTCACAGCTTGGCCCCTCCTGGACACCTCCAAGCCCGGCACAAGTAGCAGCCATCTACGGTTTGCTGTGTAGCTCATGCTGGGTGGCCCTGGGCAAGGCACTGGCACAGGCTGACTTTGCACCTCCCGGGAGGCCCCAGAGACAGTGCACCTGGTGGTCAGACTCGACCACGCTGGATTACAACCCTACCACATCCACGAGTGACACTCAAGGGGCGCACTTGGTGAACACCAAAGCTCCACTGAAGTAAATCCTGCTCCATAGGGGTGTATCCAGTGCAGCAGCTCTCTGGCTATAGTTGCAGCTGGTCCTCACAGCTGATTGGTCTGAGGGTTAGTTCCTCCCAGTGACGCCAACAGCAAACAAGGCTCAACTACAATAGGACAGTGCACATAGCGCACACAGGGGAACACCTAGAAGGCCCCACTCAGGTGAATGGGGAGGCTGAGCCACTGGATCCTATAGGACACCTACTACACAAAGCCACTCTACAAATTTCAGGAGACATAGCAGCTCTACCTAATACATAGAAACAAACACCAGGAAGCAGCCAAAATGTGGAGGCAAAGAAACATGTCACAAAGGAAAGAACAGAAGAAATCTCTAGAAAAGGAACTAAATGAAATAGATCCAAGCAAGCTAACAGATACAGAATTCAGAATAATGGTTTTCAGGATGCTCAAGGATATTAATAAGAGTATGACAAAAATAATTGAGAAAAATCGATGACATAATAAAGTACCAATTTGAAATGAAGGCTACAAGAACTGAAATGAAGAATAAGTTACAGGGAATCAACAGTAGAATAGAGGATGCTGAGAATCAAATCAGCCATTAGGAACATGAAGAAACAAAAAACACCCAACCAGAAGAGCAAAAAAAATAATAATAATCCAGCAATATGAAGATAGTGTAAGGAGCCTCTGAGACAACTTCAAGAGGGCCAACATTCTTATTATTGGGGTGCAAGAAGGAGGGGAAAGAGAGCAAGAAATTGAAAACCTTTTTGAAAAAGTAATTACAGAAAACTTCCCCTACCTGGGGAAAGAAATAGACTTACAAGTCCAGGAAGCACAGAGGGTCCCAAACAAGAGGAACCCAAAGAGGCCCACAGCAAGACACATCATAATTAAAATGCCAAAGGTTAAAGACAAAGAGAGAATCTTAAAAGCAGCAAGAGAAAAGCAGTTAATTACATACAAGAGAGCACCCATACTACTGTCAGCTGATTTCTCAACAGAAACCTTGCAGGCCAGAAGGGAGTGGCAAGAAATATTCAAAGTGATGAAAAACATGGAACTACAACCAAGATTGCTCTACCCAGCAAAGCTATCATTTAGAATTGAAGGTCAGATAAAGAGCTTC